TTCTTCATTAATTCTGTTACTATTTGCTTTATATATTTAGGTGTTCCAATGTTGGGTGTATATATATATTTACAATTCTAGTATCTTCCTGATGAATTGACCCCTTTACCATTATATAATAACCTTGTCTTTTGTGAAAGCTTTGGACTTAAAATCTATTTTGTGTGATGTAAGTGTAGCCACTGTGCTCTCTTTTGAGTACCATTTGCATGGAATATCTTTTTCCATCCTGTCACTTTTAGTCTATGTGCATCCTTAATCTGAAGTCCCCTCTAGTCACCACATAGTTAGAGCTTGTTGTTCTTAATCCATTCAGTCACTCTTTTGATGGAAGAATTTAATGCATTTAAAGTAATTACTGATAGTTACGGATGTACTACAGCTATTTTGTTCATTGTTTTCACTGTTTTGTAGGTCCTTTTCCCTCTCTTCCTCTTTCTGTCTTCCTTTGTGATATAACAATGTCTTGTGGCAGTATACTGTGACTCCTTTCTCTTTATCTTTTGTGTATCTACTACAGGTTTTTTTTCTTTGTGGTTACCATGATGCTCATCTAAAATATAGTTACATAAGTCTATGTTAAGCTGAAAACAACTTAATTCTGATTATATACAAAAACTTTACACTTTTTAAATTTCTTCTCTCCCCATGTTTTGTTATTAATATCTTAATGTCGTTAGATAACATGTATCCATTAACACATTACTGTAGCTAGTTTAAGAAATATTTTTGTCTTTTAACTTTCATACTAGAGTTAAAAGCAATTTACATACCACCATTACAGTATTCTGAATTTGACTATGTTCTTACCTTTACATTAAGTTTAATACTTTAATATGTTTTCATGTTGTTAACTAGCATCTTTTATTTCAACTTGAAGAATTCCCATTAGAATTTTCTGTGAGACAGGTCTAGTGTGTCAAATTCCCACACCGCTTTTTTTCTGGGCAAGTTTTTGTCTCTTCTACATTTATGAAGAACAGCCTTGTTTGGTATAGGACTTTTGGTTGAGTTTCTTTGGCTAAATATATCATTCCACTCTTCTGGTTTGCAAGGTATCTGCTGATAGTTTTATGAAGGTTCTTTTGCATGTAATAAGTTACTTTTCTGTTGCTGCTTTAAAAGTTTGAGAACTTGAAACTTTTCAAGTTCAATGTTTCAGGGGAGATTTCTTTATACTTCATCTATGTGGGGTTCCTTGGGATTCCTAGATATGGATGTTCATTTCAGTCTCCAGATTTGGGAAGTTTTCTGTCTTTATGTCTTTAATAAGCTTTCTTCCTTTTTCTCTGTCTCTGCTTCTTCTAGAATTCCCATAATGCATATTTTTGTTTACTTGATGGCGTCTCAAAGGCCCATAAGCTTTCCTCACTTTTGTTTCCTCTAACAAGGCAATTTCAAAGGCTCTTTGAGCTTGTTGATTCTTTATTTTGCTTGATCAAGTATGCTCTTGAAGTTCTTTATGGAATTTGTCAGTGCAGTTACTGTCTTTTTGAGCTCTAAAGTTTAATTTTAAATATGCTTTCTCTCTAACTTCTCAATTTCTTCATGTAAATTTCCTGATTTTGGTTGGTTGTCTGTGCCCTCTTGTAGCTCATTGGGCTTGTTTTAGATAATTGTTTTGAATTCTTTCTCAGGCAGTTTTTAGATGGCCATTTCTTTATGGTCATTTACTGGTGCTTTTTGTTGTTGTTCTTTTGGTAGCATCCTGTTTCCCTGATTATTCATGATTCTTGCAGTCTGTGTTGGCATCTGCACATTAAAAAAAGTAGGCACCTCTTCCAGTCTTCATAGACTGGCTCTGGCAGAGAAAGTCCTTCACCAGTCTGCCAGTCCAGAGGTTCATGGTGGGCAAAGGGTGGGGTCCTTATGGGGGGCTGGCCTGATACCTGGGTCCTCAGGGGCCAGCCTGCCTCTGGAGTCTACTGGGGAAGACCTGGACCCTGAGCCACAGGGACTGGCCTGGAGCCTGGAACTGTGGATGCCTACCTGAAGTACATTTTCAAGTGTACATTTCAGTAGATTTTAGTATATTCAAAGTTATGAAATCATCACTACTAAGTTTAGAACACTGTTGTCACCACAAAAAGAAACCCCATACCAATTAGTACTGTGTAGCTATGTTTCTCCTTTGTAGGAAAGATGTGCATAACTTTGCAGCAACTGTTAAGATCTAATGCTCAGTTCATCATGTTTTCCTTCCCTTGTCATGGTGACCTGTTATTCCAGAGATGGGGAACCATGGCCCCACATCCAGAAGTGGTGATGAAAATGCAGACAAGCCCTTGATGAACAAAGAGAAATACGTGGGGGAGTCCAAGAAATGAAGCTTTGTTAAGTTACTAAGATTTTGGCAGTGGTTTGCAGACACAGAATAATCTAGCCTAACATGACTAGTAAACACAGGATAAAAGTCTGTTTAATGAGACACTACTTAGGAGAAGCAAAAATTTAAAAAAAAAATGTTTAGAGTTGGTTATTTTAAAATGACTCAATACGAATCACCTTCTTGAAATGGGGGGAAAAGAGGCTGATTTTGAGTCAGATAATCATTAAAAAGAAGTTACTTCATTTGAGCTAAGAAAAAGACAGCCACTTATATTTATCAAAAAGATGTTCTAATATGACTCTCTTCTAAACTTTGTTCTGCTGAGGAAAGCAGGATAGGTAGCACTGTTTGAAACAATAATACTTTTTAAAAAAAAATTTTTCTTCCTGGAATTCTGTTTGAAGTTTATTTGGTCTGTGGTATAAGATGAGGTCCTAGATTCACACCCTACACTAAACACTTTTCCTTTCGCCTATATTAAACAAAATCTTTCTTCTTAAATGAGTAATCAGAATATCCCAGGTCTCCATTTTTGATATCACATCACTGTTTAGTATGGTTGTGAAATAAAATATGTGAGATATTCTGTAACGATCTTAAGACGACTGTATTCATTACCAATGCTACAGGCCTAGTTTAGGTTTTTATTATTCATCATCACTGCAAAGTCCTCTCAACTAATCTCCATGCCTTGTTTTCTCCTCTTCTAACCTATTCTTTACTAGTTGTCTGATTAAACTTCCAAAAACACAGTTCTGATTATGACACTTTCCTATACAAAGTTTTTGCTCTCAGAAAAGAAATAATTTAGCCAGGCATTTGTATTATTGCTAGAGCTACTGTAACAAAGTCCCACAAACTGGATGCCTGAAATAACAGAATTTTATTGTCTCACAGTTCTGGAGGCAAAAGCCTGAGATAAGGTATTGACAGGGTTGGTCTTCTGAGGAATGAGGAAAAATGTATTCAATGCCTCTCCCCTAATTTCTGGTGGTTTTCTGGCAATCTTTGCCATTTCTTGGCTTACAGAAGCATCATATTAAACTCTGCCTTTATCTTCACATGGCATTCTCCTTGAGTCTGTGTTCAAATTTCCGCCTTTTATCAGAACACCAGTAATACTGTATTAGAACCCACCCTATTGAAATATGATCTCATCTTAACTAACTACACCTGCAACAACCTCATTTCCAAATAAGATCACATTTTGAAGTCTTGGAGGTTAAGACTTCAACACAAGTTTTGGGAGGGACACATATCAATCCTTAATAGTATTAAAAGGTCTCCATAAGGCTTCCCACTTACCTTTTCAGCTTTATCCCTCATCTTGCTTCTTTACTTTATATCCGAGGAAGTGTAGACAACAAGAAGCCCTGCCCTTTTATGAACCATTAAAATACTTTTCCATTTCTGTGTATTACTTCTCCCCTAATTCTTTTGTATCCATTTACCAAATCTTAAACATTCTTCAAAGTCAAGCTTAAATGATCCTTCTTCCATAAGGATAAACACAAATTTCCTATGTAAAAACAACTTCTCTCTTTTTTGCCTCCCTAAGTACATTATCTACACCTGCCTTCTGCAATTTAGCATGCCTTAACTTGTGTTGTACATGGCTTACATAGTTTATTACTTACCAGACAGTAAGTCCTTTATAAGAATGAGGTACACATTTGACTCATCTTTTACTTCCCACAGTTCTTTTCACAGTGCTTTAGAATAAGTATTTATTGAACAATATTTATTCTATATTTATGAATATCATAGAAATTACAGTTTAAAATCTTGACACTGGTTATTTCATGTTTTTTGATTGCAGAAAAAAATTCTTAATGGACACTTTTTTTGTTGTTGTTGAGACAGGTCTTGCCTTGTCACCCAGGCTGGAGAGCAGTGGCATGAGCACGGCTCACTGCAGCCTCGACATCCTGGGGTCAAGCAATGCTCCTACTTCAGCCTCTTGAGTAGCTGGGACCGCAGGCATGTGCCACCACACCCAGCTAATTTTTAAACATTTTTTGAAGAGATGGGGAATCCCTGTGTTGCCCAGGCTGGTCTCAAACTCCTGGGGTCAAGTGATCATCCTGCCTTGGCTTCCCAAAGTGCTGGGATTACAGGTGTGGGTCACCATGCCTGGCTGATGGTTTTATCTTTAATATATAGTATGAAAATAAACAAATGCTTCCCAACCAATACATAGTTTCAGACCCTAATCCTGACCCTATCTAACCAATTAGATAACTTGAAATTACCAACATCCTGTGAAAGCTCATTAAATAATCCTATATTTTTTCATACAATCTTGTTTTTAGAAGTTCTAATGAAACAGAAAGCAGCTTCATTTCATTCATTGTTACAGTTGATTCAATATTTATAAATTCCACTCAAGGTAGTTCAAACTTACTGTTTAAAAGGTAGAGAATTTCAGAAAATTTAAAACTGAGAAACGGTACCAAAACCGTACAAAGGTTTGAGAGATTTGGGCTGGAATTTATTTCCTAAGAAGTAGGGGTGCTTTGCCTGTTCTCTTTTTAGAAGAAGAAGTGAATTCTATATATTACATGTTCCTTTGCCTTCATACATATGTATACTGATATTCAAATGTGGCACAATTTTAGATAATAACTATAAAATAAACCTTCAGAAATTAGTCATTAAGAATGTGTCAAGATACTTCTTCTATACAACCTTTTTTAATGAATATCATTAAGAATTTATACATTCTAAACAAGCACTTTAAATAAATTTTGGTATTTACTAACTTAAGTATTCAAGAACCTGGTTTGAAGAGTCCAACAGACTGAAAGTCTGCTTTTCAAGAGTACTATGATCGTCTATCAATGGAGAGATTTTCGTATTTCTATATTCTAATAGTTCACGATCCTTGCTTGATGTCAGTAATTCATTATCAACTATACCAATAGTTGCATCTTCCACCAGAATATTTGCTTGATATGCTCCAACCGGAATTTCAGGTAATCCAATGTAGTCATGATCTGCCACTACTGATCCTTGCAAGAGATAAAGACTTTCTGAAACAAGAAAAATCATACATTTGACTTTTAGAATTATAATTAAGCATATTTTTTAATTAAACAATTTTAAGTGAGGAATAAAATCCCAAGTAATAAAAATTAACTATCAAGATTAACTTCTAGGGAGTTCTACGGTCTACTAAATAAATATGAATGTCAAAGAAGAAAAAAAAAATGACATATACATTTGACAGTTCATACATAAAAAATGCAGGAAAGGTCAAGGATTTTAAAACAGCCATTTTTCTATTCCCTAGACCTGTCTTCGGTAGATATGTATGTATGAGGAACACAGGATAGGAGTGAAAATTATGGTATAGATTAAAAATAAAATTATAAGGCTGTGCACAGTGCCTGACGCCTGTAATCTCAGCACTCCAAAGCCAAAGCCAGTGGATTGCTTAAACCCAGGAGTTAGAGATCAGCCTGGCCAACACGGCGGAAAAAAAAAAAACTCGTCTCTACAAAAAATACAAAAAAATTAGCAAGGTGTGGTTGAGGGTGTCTGTGGTCCTAGCTACTTAGGAGGCTGAGGTGGAAGGATCACTTGAGCCTGGGAGATTGAGGTTGCAGTGAGCCATGATGGCACCACTGCACTCCAGCATGGGTGACAGACTAAGACCTTATCTCAAAAAAAAAAAAAAAAAAAAATATAAAACTATTTTTGATAATGTTATCTTTAATATGCTTCTGTAAAGCATTTCTGGGTGAATTAATAGGGTCATAAAATTATTTTAACAAATATAATTATTAAATCCTTGCATTTACAAGTTGACATAATTTTCTAATCTTTATAAAACCCATATTGGAAAAATAATATCAAATTGTTACAGTATGAAGTTAAAAACAACATGCCAACTCAGGCTTATGTGACAATGTGTAAGAAAGTAGGTTGCAATGGAGTAGTGTAAAAAGCTTAGCTTATTTAAATCTAATTTGACACCAAAACTCTTAGAAACTTTTAAGGTCTACCTAAGCCATACTGAAGTGCTGACAGGGAGTCTTCCTTGTCAGTCTTTTATTGTACGTTGAGCAAATATATCATCACCATCAAGAAAAAAATGTTTAAAATGAATGTTAAACTGATGGCAAATCTTCTATATACAGACTAATATGTATAAAAGGATTCCTCCCTATCTGATATTTCAATCCATTACTAAAAGAAACTCTTTTACCAAAGCTGATTAACTTCCTGGACCCCTGCCTTCTCTTTCTAAATGTTCCCCCAAAACATCAGAATATAGATATAGATATATTTATCTTTATTTACTTATCATTCATTCATTCATTCATGGTCTTGCTCTGTCACCGAGGCTGGAGTGCAATGGCATGATCACAGCTCACTGCATCGTTGACCTTCTGGGCTCAAGTGATCCTCTCACCTCAGACTCCCGAGTAGCTGAGACTATAGGCACATGGCGCCATGCCTGGCTAACTGTGTTGCCTAGGTTGGTCTCCTGAAGATGTTAATGGGTTAAGGAGCCCTCAAATTTTAAGATCAAAAAAGCGAAAGGAAGATTAAATGCCTGTTTAGATTAGAGACCAATGTCTCAGAACAGATGAATTTACTAGTATATTAAGTGTCTCAGAACAGATGAATTTGCCAGTATATTTTGAAAAATCAATCCAACTCTACTCATCCTCATAACATTATTACAAATAGCTCACTGAACCTATTTCAATCCCAGAAGTTCATGCATTTAACAACTTTCAATTTACAAACTTTAATAGATCACACAAAGCTATTCTCTCTACCAAAAGATGGCATAAGTGGGCTTGGGCTCGTATGGTCATTTATTCTGCCCATAATTCTGAAAGACAAAAAAAAAAAAAAAATCATGCGGCTGGGCAGTGGCTCATGCTTGTAATCCCAGCACTTTGGGAAGCCGATGTGGGCAGATCACTTGAGGTCAGGAGTTCGAGACCAACCTGGCTAACACGGCGAAACCCCGTCTCTACTAAAAATACAAAAACAGGCATGGTGGCATGTGCCTGTAATCCCAGTTACTTGAGAGGCTTAGGTGAATCGCTTCAACCCAGGAGGTGGAGATGGCAGTAAGGTGAGATTGCACCACTGCACTCCAGCCTAGGTGACAGAGCAAGACTCTTTCTCAACAACAACAAAACAACACATGAGATGTGTTATACCCAATAGCAGCAAGAGGGAAAAAAACATGATCAATAAACTCGAAACACTTTCAGAGTATGTTGCTAGAGGTTTAACATCAAAGTTTGCAACTACCCTACTGTTAATACTAGAAAAGGCTAAGAAGTAGTTTATAAGAGAACTTTAAAAGGTTAAGTAGGGTAAAAGTGTTGCTGATGAAATTTTCTACTAAGTCATAGAGAATTCCATAGGTTCAAGACCTGTACACTCCTGCAAAATTATCAGTGATGGCAGATACCATAGGCATTTAAGAAATGTCTAAAGACTCTTTCAGAGGATTAACTGGGAGGTTTTCTGTCTGTAAAAGTTTTTCCATACAGATGAAGTAGGACTATTTTAGAAAAATATGTCTAGTAAACATATGTCAATAGGGAAAAAATATGCCTAGATGTAAAGCTCTTAGAAATTATCATTTTAATTTGCTGAAATGGATTCAGAGACCTTGAACTTGAGTACCTCCTAGTTACACTGGTTAGAAACAAATGGACATTACCCACCTCACTTGATTTTAAGAGGAGAGCTTTTGTATGTAAGTAAAATAAGACACACACACACACACACTTTTTCTTGTAAAAAAATTAATCTTTAAAGTAACTTATTGTAATAAAACTGTAGAGAACAAGGACTACACTCAGCAAATTCTACATAAATCACTTTATACACAATAGAAAACTACTCTGAATATGTCAAAGGCCTGCTTGTTTAGAAAAAAAATTCTCATTCATTTGCAAGGTTAAATGTGTTTCAACTCCTACTATGGTCTAAATCTACTGGAGCTAAGAGAAATGCTCTTTAATTTCAATAAAGATAATCAGAAAAGAGACTCTTGGGGCCTTACATGTTGAACAAATAATATTTTGGATACTGGGTTATATAAAATATATTATTAAGGTTATTTTCACTTATTTCTGTACCTTTCAAAATGTGGCTACTCGAAAATTTTAAATTACATAGCTCCTGTATTATTATTAATCTATTGGACAGCACTAATCTAAAACAATCCTGAGTTAGGGATACAGAAAAGAACATGATTAAACTTTTTGCCCTCAAAACACAGAGGTGGGGAGTAAACAAACATATCACATTAAAGATCTTTTCCAGTCAGTTACATTACATAATACATTTCACTAAGTATTTTTTCTCATTCTATTAATTATGATTATGACATCTGTTTGATGAAAGCATCATCACAGTTTTGACAAGACTGAATGAGTCTTTAGTTTCTTTGAAATTAAAATATTTTCAAGATATTTCAGGAAGGTGTTAATCAGCAGTTTTGATACTCATTTTTATTGTAGGGTTTTTTTTTTTAAGAGAGGGGGCCTCAGCCAGGCGTGGTGGCTCATGCCTGTAATCCCAGCACTTTGGGAGGCCGAGGCAAGAGAATCACTTGAACCCAGGAGGCAGAGGTTGCAGTGAGCCAAGATCGCACCACTGCACTCCAGCCTGGGCAACAAGAGTTGAACTCCATCTCAAAAAAAAAAAAAAAAAAAGATGGGGTCTCACTTTGTCACTCAGGCTGGAGTGCAGTGGTGGTGCAATCTTGGCTCACTGCAGCTCAATCTCCCAGGCTCAAGTGATCCTCTGCCTCAGCCCCCTAAGTAGCTAAGATTAAAGGTGCGTATCACCATGCCCAGCTAATTTTTGTATTTTTTTGTACGGACGGGGTTTTAGTATATTGCCCAGGCTGGTCTCAAACTCCTGAGCTCAGGCAATCCCACCTCGGCCTCTCAAAATGCTGGAGTTACAGGCATGAGCCACTGCGCCCAGCCTTAATGTTGTTTTAAGGAGTAAAAATAATAGATTAAAAAATCAATTTTTAAATTTCCCTAAGGAGAAAAATAAATAAAAATTACAGCTTCAAAAAAGTCTCATTTGGATTAATTTATTTCTTCAATCAGAAAAAAAAGATAAAGGTTTCAGACTACTTTTCTTATTTTAAAGAGAAGTGACTAAACTACTCCTATATATGGTCTGATAATCCTCAAACTATTAGAATGTGCTGCCATACTAGTATATCCTTTCTCAAGACAAAATAATAACTATAACTTGATACTACATCACTGTCATTATAATAACTAATACTGTCAATAGAGAACTGAATAACTGTTGGTTTAGAAATTATATAACTGGACTGGGCACAATGGCTCACACCTGTAATTCCAACACTCTGGGAGGTCTAGGTGGGAGGACTGCTTGAGCCCAGAAGTTTGAGGCCAACCTGGGCAACATAGTAAGATCCTGTCTCTATAAAAAATAAAAAAATCAGCCAGGCATGGTGATGCATACATGTATTCCAAGCTACTTGGTAGGCTGATGTGGGAAGATTGCTTAAGCCCAGGAAGTCAAGGCTGCAGTGAGCTATTATTGTGCAACTGCACTCCAGCACGGGCAACCATGTAAGAACCTGTCTCAAAAAAAAAAAAAAAAAAAAAGAGAGAAAGAAAGAAAAAATGATATTAACTAAGAGGCCAAAGAAAGGCTCTCTGCATAAACTATATTAATGATAATGTCAAGATCATGGACTTGATACTATAGAGACTGTGCTTTGCTTTGTTCCATGAATGCAGATCATAATTGTAGTAGGCAGTATAATAGACCCCTAAAGATGTCAACATACTACTCCTTGGATCCTGTGAATATATAACCTTACATGGCGAAGGAGAATTTAGGTAGCGATGGAATTAAGGTTGCTAATCAGATGACCTTAAAATAGGGTGATAATCCTGGACTTTTTGGGCAGGCCAAAGGTCAAGGGTCCTCAAATACAGAAGAGGGAGGCAGAAGAGGAGATTGGAGTAAGGTGATGTAAGAAAAACTCAATCCACTATTGTTGGCTTTGAAGATAGAGGGACAAGCCAAGAAATGAAGGTAACCTCTAGAAGCTGGAAAAGACAAGAAAATGGATTCTTTTCTAGAGCGTCCAGATAGGAACACAACACTGCCAATACCTTGATTTTAGCCCAGTAAGATCTATGTTGAACTTCTAACCTTCAGAATTGTAAGATAATAAACGTGTGTTGTTTTAAAGCCATTAAATCTGTAGTAATTCGTTACGGCAACAAGAAGAAACTTATACAATAATGAAAATCATTTCACAAATGGGGCTTTCAACTGTGAAGGGAAATCAGGCTAAAATCTTGGGTGAGGCAGACCCAAATATATCACAAACAAAATAAATTCAAAACTATGCAAAATCTGTCAGATTAATTTTCCTTTCAAAGAGGAGCATTATGATTACAAAAAGACACTACAGTATTTTAAGATTTCTTGTCCAAATAGTCTGAGAAAGCACTTGGCAATGAACTACACAAAAAAACAAACAGGCCTGCTTAAAATAGCAATGACAAATATTATATAACTAGTACTGAATGTGCTCACTCCACATTTAGTTCTAGATAAGAATGGATAAGAAGTTGGCAACAGAAGTATATCTACTTTAGACAGTCTTTAATACCGCTATGAAATTTCAAGCCTAGCAAAGAGCAGCAATGACAAATGTGGACAAATAAATTTATAGTTCTTTTGGCTATAGCATACCGAAACTTATGTCAAATAAAAATTTCAATGATTATTCAAAATCATTTTGTTTGCTTTAATTCAGCTCAAGGACTCTTTAAAATCAATTTGTGAGGTCATTTTCAAGAAAATCATGGAAAAGATTTTCAAGAAAATATGTAATATAGACGAAAAAGATGGCAGAAATCACACTTACTTTGAATTTCTACAAATGAGAAAAATGTAAAAAAAGGATCAAGTAGTTAAGAACCAGATTCTAGGATGACCGGATCAGTAGTTCCTTTGGTTAACAAAAACTAAAACAGATTCATTTATTAGTCTTAAGTTCCTTATGCATACACCAGTAGTCATATTGCAATATTACTTATCCTTATATTACTGGAAGAAACTTGTGCAAAGAATTCAAGTATGAGGCAAATATTATACTGCCTCTGTTTAGAGACTGTTCTCAAACAGAGAAGATGAGTTCTGAAATACTGAGTTCTGAAATGTTCAGAAGAAGCACAATATTTGACTTCTTTTCTGAGAAACTCTTTTCTTAAAAACAAATTACAAAATGTTGATGGATCCTGGTTTAGCAAAATTTTAAATGTAAATTTTGTATTAAAGAAGGTTAACAAATTAGGAGTGAGCAAATCATGAATGTCAAATATTAAGGGGAAAATCACGCTAAAGAAGACAGAACAACACGTACTTGTATAACCTTTTTTTCCCTACTTAACTTGCAGAAGAGAGAGATCATTAAAGGTAGCTCAGAACTGAGAAGAGGCACAAACAATGCAAGCTTTTATCTTCTAACAAAGAGACGAAAGCACTTGTGAGTTTTCAGGATTAGAACATAGCTTAAGATAAGTTTACTGACTAAACAACTGGGTCTGTCACAAGAAGGGAAGGTACTAAGAGGTTTTAACATGAGAGTTGTACCCCAGATTAGAAGCAGAGTTGAGCTATCATTACTAAGCAGCCCACAAGGGTTTTACATCTTAAGAAAAGGCATAGGGTATGTGTAGGTTATTTGTTGTTGTTACTCTTTTTGTTATTAACATTTGCTAAAGCCTGTCATACAACTTGTTTATATTCTTATAAATATATTTTCCATTAAATGTTACTTATATCCAAATAACATTAATGCTTCATCTGGCTAAGTTACCCATTAACTCCCTCTCAGTTATCCACTTCAGAGAAGCTCTAGGAAGCAGATGCATTAGGACAAAATAAAAGCCTTGATAAAGCGGGGAACATAATCTAAAAGCCATGGCAAAAACATCACTTAACTAGGCTATGAAAGAAAGAGTTACAGAGAACAGGATATCTTGACTGTTCAGAACCAGTCAAATTTAGGGGCAAGTATAACTTGTTTACAGAGTGCTATCACCTCTTCTTACAGCACCTTATAGCATTCTGAGGATACCCCACTCCACACCCACACCTGGCCCCCAACCATGACCTAACTAACTACAAAGCAATATTAAAAATTAATGGCATTTTTAAAGTACCCAAATATTTATCTCACAACTGGATTCTGGACAGTATGTTTGCTTCTGGCATTAATGATCATAGGTGCTGTTTTTCACACCAAAAAGAGGCACGAAGTGACTAACAGAATATTTGTGAGGCCAGGTGCAATGGCACATGCACGCAATCCCAGCACTTTGGGAGGCGGAGGCAGGCAAATCACTTGAGGCCAAGAGTTAAAAACCAGCCTGGCCAACATGGTGAAACCTCATTTCTACCAAAAATACAAAAAATTAGCTGGGTATGGTGGCATGTGCCTATAATCCCAGCTACTCGGGAGGCTGACGCACGAGAATTGCTTGAACCCAGGAAGCAGAGGTTGCAGAGAGCTGAGATTACACGACCACACTCCAGCCTGGGGGACAGAGTGAGACTCTGTCTCAAAAAATAAAAAAAATTAAAAAAAAAAACATTGAGAAAGCAAAAATAGAGATGATGTTAAGCTGTTATCTTTCCTTCAGAAGAAAACAAGTTCAGTATCTCCCACATAAACTATGAAAAACATACTAGAAATAAAAAATAAAAATGCCTGGGCACCCTGGTTCCTACCTGTAATCCAACCACTTTAGGAGGTCAAGGCAGGTGCATCACCTGAGATCAGGAGTTGAAGACCAGCCTGGCTAACATGGTGAAATACCGTTTCTACTAAAAATACAAAAAATTAGCCGGGCGTGGTGGCACGCATTTGTAATCCCGGCTACTCAGAGGCTGAGGCAGGAGACCTACTTGAACCTGGGAAGCGGAGGGTGCAGTGAGCCGAGATCGCGCCACTGCACTCCAGCTTGGGCAAAAAGAGGGAAACGTCGTCTCAAAAAAAAAAAAAAAATCTCACAGGCCTGACAGTTCCAGAGACACTGTAATAAAACAGACTACCTGGGATAGCTAACAAATTTTATGAAGAAGGGAAAAGAAAACATAACAAAAGAAGGGAGAAAGGTTTCTGTTATTTTTAACTTTTCTCCTTACCCAAAGCAATAAAAATGTAGAGAAGTGACAGGTATTTACCTTGTTCACTGGATTCTCTTATGTAGGGCTTAAGGTGGGACATTTTGATAGGTCTTTTCAGTCTAACCCCAGTATTGTCTCTCAGGACAGCACATCCACTTTCTGTAATATAGTCTATGACACAAGGACCAACCCATTCAGATTGAAAACGACCATCCTTCCACCAATTTTTCCTTTGTCTTAAAACTTCATGACCCACTTTTAAATGAAATGGATTTAATTGTTTGGGTTTCTTTTTAACAATGATCTTGCTTTTATTTAGTTCATCCAAATTGTTGTTCTCCATCTACAAGTGTAAAAAGAAAAAGAAGAGATGGAAGAGCTATAATATCTTGAAGGTAAATGTAGACAATGAGAATATTACAACAAAATGGTTACTTGAGATGCTACTAAAAGGTAGGCATGAATTATATTTAATTCTTAAAACAACATTTCCAAGTCAGTATTATTAACCCCTACTTTATATAGAAGGTAAACTAAGATAGGTTAAGGAATTTGCCAAAGTCAAACAACTCAAAAGCAGTTAAGACTAAAGATTTGAATCCGGCTCTACTTGATTCCAAAATCCATAGCTTTCTCATTATTGCCCCTCAGCATGTCATAGCTAGTAAACTATTTAATCAAGACAATAAAAATCTGATGGATAAAAAGTTATGGCAAGTATGTATGCGTGTCTGTGTACATGCACACATGTATATGCTGAAATTTAAAAAATAAATATAACTTTATAAAGTTTTAGATTACAGTTTTTCTATTGAATAGAATCACCTGGCCCAGTGAAGTTGTCTTATTCTCCATTATTTCATCAGCTTCTTTAATTGCATCTAGAATTTTGGCAAACATACTTGTATTATCACCATCCACATCATGAAGACTATCTGAAGTCTCAGGCATATAAGGATTTCGACTAAACATTTGAAAATATGGTGTATTTTTAGTAGGTTCCTATTTTAAAGAAAATAAATGTCAATTTTATAATAAAACATTTATCTGGCCAATAAATAGTCATAACTCAGAAGTACAGAATTATAAAAAGGCACGTACCAAGTGAGTTACATTGAAGGCAAATGAAACAGCTGATAGGTGATCATCCCAGTTGTTTGGGTGGTCAGCACAGTGTTTGGAGAGAAATGCTTTGATTGTGCTAGGTGTAGTTTCCATTGGACTAACAGTTCCAGAGGTGTGAGAAATTACAATCTGCTTTATGCCAAACAATCTGTACAGTTCAATATTGATCTGAAAAATATATAAAACAAAGCTGGCTTTTTAAAATTTGTGTTTTATTTTTCCACTGACTTAAAAAAAGCTTCAAAAGAATTAGAATCTTGCGTTTTATTTTTATTATTATTATTGTTATTATTTGAGATGGAGTCTCGCTCAGTTGCCCAGCCTGGAGTGCAGTGGCACGATCTCAGCTCACTACAACCTCTGCCTCCCAGGTTCAAGCGATTCTTCTGCCTCAGCCTCCTAAGTAGCTGGGACTACAGGCACGCGCCACCACGCCCGGCTAATTTTCATTATTTTTAGTAGAGGTGGGGTTTCACCATATTGGCCAGGCTAGTCTTGAACTCCTGACCTTGTGATCCACCTGCCTTGTCCTCCCAAAGTGCTGGGATTACAGGTGTGAGCCACCATGCCTGGCTGAATCTTGCTTTTTTGTTGACCATAACATTCTATATGAAAATATGTAAAATTTCATGTATAAAATAGTGGTTACCATTTATTGAGTCTTTACTACATGCTGATCATCACACTAGACACTTTACATTATTGTCATTAAACCTTACAACAAGTTTTTGAGGTATTATTAATTTCATTTTAAAGGTAAGATGCTGAAGCTGTGAGAGATTAAGTGCCTTGCCAAATACACACATACAACAAGGAAACAGGAGAACAGAATTTAACACTAACTTTGAGTTTAATTTTTTTCTTTTTTTGTGGGGGTAGGCAGTGGGAGACAGGGTCTTGTTCTGTTGCACAGGCTGGAGGGCAGCCTCCACCACCCGGACTCAAGCAATCCTCTCACCTCAGCCTGCCTAGCAGCTTGGACTACAGGCATGTGTCACCATGCCCAGCTAATTTTTAAATATTTTGTACAGATGGAGTTTCACCATGTTGCCCAGGCTGGTCTCAAACTCCTGGACTCAAGCAATCTACCCACCTCAGCCTTTCAAAGTTTTGAGGTTATAGGCATGAGCCACTGCATCCAGCCCTCAAGTAACTTTTTAATTCAGTAGACAGTGTCTCAAAAACAACCCACTAGGTCGTAAGTTAATGTTTAAAAAGCATGTAAAACAGTTATTGGCAATAATAAGCATTTTATAACTTTTAACTACTATTATTGGTGTTACCATATTATGTGTAGCGCTTAAAAGAAACCAAAATGAGTTTACAAAACTTGTAACAGTAAGCCCGTTAAATATAAAATAATATTTTTTTCCTACCTCACCCTTCAGACTTTTTTTTCCTTATTATTTTTAGTTGAGTAAACCTTTGGCTCATAAATTTGTCTTTTAAAAAAAGAGTATTTCAGACCAGTAGTATCAGAATAACTAAATAAGCAAAGTTAATACAAGAGCGGAAAGCAACAAAAAGAAAACTACATGTCCCAAATCCCCTTGCAGGTAGGGGTGGTCATGTGACATAATTCTAGCCAAAAAGTTGTAAGTAAAAGTTGTTAGGCAAACTCAGCTGGTACTAGTTTTGTTTGCCCAATACTCTCTCCCTTCTTTCTGACTGAAATGTAGGCATTGTGGCATGTGCTCTGGCAGCCATATTGTGAATACAATAGGAGTGACTCTTAATCACTCCCAGTTGGGTTAATATATATAACATATATTATTATATTGGGATAGGGAAAGACAGTCTGTTACTCGGATTGAATACACTTCCTAGCTGATATACATACTAATTCAGGATGCCTATTTTTAATTCAAAAGTAATTAGAAACAAATCCCAGAGAATAGGTGTCATTTGGGTCAGCTTCAATCTGAGTCTTGATCAATGGTTTTAAATGACCCTTGAAAAAGGCTTTACCTTCTTTGTTTCAAAAGGTTGCCTAGAAATGATCCAGGGAATCCATTTGTGAAATGGTATCTTGACATCCTTACCCTATCAGCCCCCAACCATTAAATCAGATATTCCATCAGTTCTTACAATTCTAGTTTTCTGTAAGACATTTTAAAAAAATTAATTTTTCTACTGAATATGTTTATTTTCTTTCCTTCAGAGGTTTACAAAAAGTTCTTCGTGCATTTTATTGAAACAATTTAGCAAATACTCTAAGAAACATCTGTATTTTTATTCGACTATACAATAAACCTCCTACATTGTGTATTATGTTATAATCTTTAGCAGTGTTTTCTGTTTCAGTATTTGCTGACAAGAGTTCATTCTGTACTATCATCGTTATACTTTCTGTGTAATAGTGAAGCCATTTTAATCACAGCAAAAAGAACAAGTTTTCCTAATCATATGTCCCTTTTTTGTTTAAGCAATCTCATAAAATAGGCCTGCAAATATTTATTGTTACTTTTTTTTTTTTTTTTTTTTTTTTTTGAGACTGGGTCTCACTCTGTCACCTAGGCTAGAGTGCATGATCTTGGCTCACTGCAACTTCAACCTCCTGGGCTCAAGCGATCTTCCCATCTCAGCCTCCCGAGTAGCTGGACTATAAGTGTGAGCCACCACTCCTGGCTAATTTTTGTATTTTTTGTAGAGATGGCATTTCGCCATGTTGCTTAGGCTAGTCTCGAACTCCTAGACTCAAGCAATCTGCCTGGTAGGATTACAACAAGCATGAGCCACCAAGCACAGCCTATTATTACTTTTTTTTTGTTTTTTTTTTTGTTTTTTTTGAGACAGGGTCTCACTGTTACCCAAACTGGAATGCAGTGGTACAATCATAGCTCACTACAGCCTTGACCTCCTGGGCTTAAGCAATCCTTACACCTTAGCCTCCTGAGTTGCTGGGACTATGGGTGTGCAACATCATGTCCAGCTAATTAATTTTTTTTTTTTTTTTTGTAGAGATGCAGTCTTGCTATATTGCATGGGCTGGTCTTGAACCTATAGTCTCAAGTTATCCTCTCACCTCAGCCTCCCAAAAAGCTGAGGTATGAGCCACCACACTTGGCCCTATTGTTACCTTTAGTAAAATTTTCCAAGTCGTGGTTTGGTTACCAGATGACTTTAAACACGACTGGAAAACCTGCTAGCTAATCATAATGACTTCATATTATCATTAGCAAATACCCTGAAACATTATATGCACTTAGGGTAAGGCTCTTCATTAATAAAAGTGGAAGTGAACCAATATTTCAAAGAGTATTCTCAATAATTTTGAATTTTGATGGCTAATTTCCTATCAGATCTGATAACTGTAGTCTCCCTTTATCTTCAGAGAATATGTTCCAAGGCCCCTAGTGAATGTTTGATACTGCAGATAGTACCATACCCTATCTATACTATGTTTTCCCCTATACATATACACTTACGATGGAGATTAATTTATAAATTAGGCACAGTAAGAGATTAACAACTAAAAATAAAATAGGACGACTGACAATATGCCAACATCACTACTCCTGCACTTTGGGGCTATTCTTAAGTAAAATAAGGGTAACTTGGATACAAACACTACTAACCAGGACATTTGATCTGATAACCAAGATAGCTACAAGGTGAGTAATGATAGGGAGGGAGTAGAATATACAATGAGGATATGCTAGACAAAGGGATGATTCACATCCCATTTGGACAGAGCAGGACAGCATGAGATTTCATCACTATACGCAGAATGGTATGCAATTAAAAAAAATATAAATAGTTTATTTCTGGAATTTTGTATTTAATATTTTTGGACTGCACTTGACTATAGGAACTGAAACCTCAGAAAGTAAAACTGCAGATAAATGAGGACTACTATAGTTAATATTTGTATTCATCTCATTGCTGTGTCTAAGAGCTGGAAGTTACGTAGACGTGCCAGCATTATCATTTTCTTGTGGCTGATGGGTGTTTGCCTTTTAGTATTATCTGCTTTCACTGCAAAACTGTAAGCTCCCTGGCCATTTTGTGAGTAGTGTGGTGAATGCTAGATGATATCCATATTTTCATTCAACTGCTAAAAGCAAAAGTATGAGTGAGGAAACATGTGGATTCTCACTTTTCTTTCAGGATACCTTCATATAGTATGTGTGATATAGCTGTCTTGTTGATTGAGTCAGGATGCTATTATCAATCTGTATACATTATTAATAAAGCTTTATTTCTTATTTTTTGGATTTAAAAAATATAAGTAGAAGTTCCAATAGTCTTCCCCCAGACTGGATTGCCTTACGTACTACACTGCACAGACCACTGCTATGTCAATCAAGGCAGGCAAGACTACCTTGCCTTCATTTACAAAACGACCACATAAATCTCCTATTATTATGCAGCCAAATTTAATCTTTTTCCATTGAAGTTTATACCACTGTTCCTAGGTTTAGAATGCGACCTCCATTTCTAGAGATTAAAAGTCAAATATATTTTTTTCTGTTTCTACTTTAAAAATTAAAATTCTTTAATTTACCTGAAAATTCTTTTGGTATTAGATTCTAAAATCATATTACAGAAATAATTTTAAACAATTAGCAAATTGTTACCTGTTAATTAATTACATGTTCCTCCTCTACTAGACACATTTGTGACACTAGCTTTATCAGTTAAAGCACTGTTAACAAACTTTGTGCTAAGTTACCCCTTAACATCTGTTGGACACCATGAAAACTACCAGTTTAAGGCAGTTCAGTTTCAACATTAGATCAGGTTACAATTCATTTGATGACATCACATCTTTACAGAACTGTTTTCTTCATCGAATGCTGTGATAAAAAGCAGTTACTATGTAAAAATCAGTGTGAAACAGGAAATGAGGGTGGCAGTGTACAATATGATTCCAAGGTCTGAGAAGGTAAGCAGTGGTCAACAGGTACACATTACCCATTAGCAAGTAATTACGGTTAAGAATGAAATGAAAGGGGTGGGTGTGGTGGCTCACACCAGTAATTCCAGCACTCTGGGAAGTCAAGGCAGGTGGATCGTGTGAGTTCAGGAGTTCGAAACCAGCCTGGGCAACATGGTGAAACCTGTCTCTAAAAGAAAAAAGGTACAAATATTAGCTGGGAGGCTAAGGTGGCAGGATCACTTGAGTCTGGAAAGCGGAGGTTGCATTGAGCCAAGACAGTGCCACAGCACTCCAGGCTGGGTGACAGAATGAGACCCTGTCTCAAAAAAAAAGAATGAAACAAAAATATATTGTCTTTCATTTTATGAGTATTTTAAATTCCTACTAAGTGGTTACAACATAAATACTTATTAAGTTGTTTGGATGGACCTGTGAAGAAAAGAATTAACCTGACAGCTAACTTTAACATATTAACACAGCGGATCTGTGACTGCTATTCTTTGAAAGGCCTGCTTACAAGGTTGCACCTTGGCTAATGTCTAGGAGCTTAGGTTTTGGTTATAAGACCAAACACAATCTTTCCTTCTAAGAGTCTGAAATTTTTGTACATGCCAGGTAGAAGGTGCCTATGTGACCAGCCCCCAATAAAAACCCTAGGCACTGAGCCTCTAGTGAGCTTCCCTGTGTTGTCACAACTCTGCTAAAGGAATTAAACATGTCCTGTGTAACTCTATTGGGGAAGGAGATCTTAGAAACTTGTACCTGGTTCTCCCAATGTGTCTTTTCTCTTTGCTGAATAAATCTTAGCCATGAATATGACTATATGCTGAGTCCTCCTAGAGAATTATGAAAACTGGGAATAATCCTGGGGTGCCATGATATGTCCTATCTACTTAATAAATATAACTTTAGATATTTCTTTTGGACTGAGCCATCAAAGATGCTTTGAACCAAGTCTGGCTATCTCTGATTTTTCTTAAACATGTACCCTGTCAATTACAAAAAGTTTTAACATATGCCTTAAGTCTAGTACTTATTATATTTCTTATAAAAAGTTTTCATATATATTCTCCCCTGTTTATCCTTTCAGGTTAATTTTAACTGGGAAAAGGCCAGGACAAGGGAAAAAGTACCTTTCAATACTGAATAGTCTTATTCATGAACACAATGTATTTTTCCATTTATTTAAGTCTCCCTTTACCTGTCAATCACATTATTATTATTATTTGAGACAAGGTCTTACTCTGTTGCCCAGGTTGAAGTGCAGTGACACAATCTCAGTTCATTGCAACCTCTGCCTCCCGGGCTCAAGTGATCCTCCTATCTCAGCCTCCCAAGTACCTGGGACCACAGGTGCATGCCACCACACCTGGCTAATTTTTTGTTTTTCTTTTTGAGATGGAGTCTCTCTGTCGCTCAGGCTGGAGTGCAATGGTGCGATCTCGGCTCACTGCAACCTCTACTTCCCGGGTTCAAGCGATTCTCTTGCCACAGCCTCCTGAGTAGCTGTGATTACAGGTTCCTACCACCATGCCCAGCTAATTTTTGTATTTTTTGTAGAGATAGGGTTTTGCCCTGTTGCCCAGGGTGGTCTTGAACTCCTGAGCTCAAGTGATCCACCCACCTCAGCCTCCTAAAGTGTTGGGATTATAGGTGTGAGCCACCAGGCCCAATCAATCACAGGTTTTTAATCTAGAAGTAAATAAAGATTATTTGGTCCAACCTCCTCATTTTAATTTGAGGATATCTGAAGATGGGTTTACAATAACCCACAGTAAGTATTAAAATCTTAATCTCCTAATTTCCAGTACAATTATCCTTGTAGTATTTAATATCATACCTCTCTACCTATAGCAATTTATCTGAATTTATTAAGCACTCTGTAACATAATGCAGAGGACACTGGTTCTGGACACTGAAAAGGAATAAGATATGCTCCCAGACCTAAGTAGTTTATTTGTCTTACCTGTTGAATGAATTCATCTCTTTGGTCCATTATTATTTTCTGAGGAGGTCCATATAAGAAAAATATATTGATAATAGCTTTAGAAACTTCTGATGCTGAAACATCACATAGAGGCAAAATCACAACCCATTTGGTGAACAAATCTGTCATGATTATAGCATATACATGACTTCTGTTGCTTGTATGAAAAGGTCCCATCAGATCAACAGTAACTAAACTCCATGGATTTTCCACCTTGAGAAGGTGCTGTTTCGGTGCTACAATAACTGTATTTTTTGCCACTTGGCAATGCTGACAAGCATATACCTACAAACAGGCACACAATAAAGAAAATACATACAAATGTTAACACTCTACACAATATAAAAGCAGTCTTATAAATCTGAATTTTAAAATGGTTAATAGGTACACTTCCTGTTTTGAAGAAGAAACTTCGGGACTGAGAATCACTGGATTAAACCTATTTAGAACAACAAACAAATAAAACAACAACAAACAACTGTAGTTGCCACTACAGCTGTCCCTCGAACAACATGGGTTTGGACTGAGAAGGTCAGCTTATACATGGCTTTTTTTTTAACTAAACACAAATAAAAAGTACAGTATTGGTAGGGAGGAATGAGAAACTCAAGGATGCAGAAAGGTGACTTCTTGTATATGCGAGTTTCACAGGATCGACTGAAAGACTTCAGTATGAGTAGATTTGGTTATATGAGTGTGGTGCTGGAAGAAATCCCTTGCTTATACTAAAGGAAGACTATACGACTAAATGACCATCTTATTGGGTCTTATTCACATGAAACATAAATCTGGTTCACACTGAATACATATTTATTAAATACTTTAAAAGATCTTAAACAAGTTTCCTATAATTTAAAATCAGTGTGTAAGTTTACAATAATTACTATATGCACAAAATGTTTCCTCCTAAAGTTATCATGTTAAGAAGTCTATTCATTAATCTAGTCCAACCATATTTATTGAAATATAATTTCATTCATAAAATATGTATAGATGGAGACATTTCTCTCAAAAGTGAGAAAAGAATAAACATAAACAAAACCCATGCTGTCCTGCTGCTTTCATTTAAGTGACGAGAGACAAGATTAACTGCTCAATTTATGGATGGGTGCCATTTCTCAATATATCTCTGGAATTCCACTCTAGAAACTACTTTCAAACTAGCTTCTGAAGAAAAATTAAAAAGCTGTTTAATCACCTTATAGTCACAGTTACTTTTGATCAGAATTTTCATTTTCCAATTTAAACTTATTTGTTGGATTTTATCACAAATAACTTCTGATTATTTCCAAAAATCATATTCATTCTGCAGTGATAACAATTCGACAAAGATTTAACTGAATGTTTGTAAAAAATGCATGGCAGGAAAAATATATAAATTATGAAGGTCTTTGGAATACCTGAACAGACCCATAAACTGATAACTCACAAATGATACTTAACTGTTGGTTTAATTCTTTATGCTTGAAATGCCAGTCTTTTTGATGCACTACTACAATTATTAAGGAGATTTCAGAGATATACCAAGGAATTCCTACCATTTGGCATACAGTACACTGGAAAGAGTAGGATCAGCTGACTTCTAGTAAGAACCCCAAAATTCCTATAGGTGAATTTTCTATTAGGAGAAGTTGAAGGTCCCAATGGGTCATAAAGTTACAAAACTCAGACTTATTTCATGATCCTCAAAATGTGATTTTGGTTATATTTGGTTTTGGGTTTCTGTCATATATGACATTCTACCTCAAGATGGAACAAGCACGAAAGATGAGAGCACATACTAGGCCTGACTTACTATGAACATATTCTCCTCCTAAAAAAACCTTGTATGATTGCCATTGAAAAGGTAATGATTTAGTCAAATGAATTCCAGCTCCATTTAAATTCTGCCTACACAAAAAAATTCAATGATACAAATATGATTCTAAATAATCTCTTATCTAAATATGGCATTTGCAAGTGTTTAAATGATGCTTCTTTACTTTTCAAATTATACTTAAGTTATTTAAAAAAACTGTGAAGGGAAATACAACTCCCTTTAAATGGTTTTTAAATAAAAATAACCATGCCAAAAATACTTAATGAGAGGTGATACCCAGAATAAACCTGGAGAAATAATAAATTGTAAATATCTATCAGAAAGACAGTATTCATAATATTCTAAATACATAAGCCATACCCACTGTTTGACATCATTGGTCACAGATGTCCAATAATAATTGGATTCTACCAGAGTGAGGGTCCTGGATATACCATGATGAGCTCCACTGTCATTTTCATGGCATTCTCTTAAGACTTTCTTCTTTTCCTCTTCTGAAACAATTACCAAACGATCTTGTTTTCTGTCTTTTCCAACATAAAACAGCTTTTTTTCTGGAATAAATGATACCAAAAAGATAGAATTGTAATTTTTAGAGATGTATGTAGTTCTAAGAGAATCATAGCCTTCTGTTTAAACCATAAAGGTTTTTGTTTTGTTTTACAAAATCTTACTGCATTTAAAACAAAATATTTATTTGTAATGATGCTACCACACAAAGGTTCTTAGCTGTTACACTTACTTAGACACTTAGGAAGGGCGGTAGCTGCTATAATTTTGTACCTATCAATATAAACAGAGCCAGCTTGTTCACCAAAGCATGTAATAAGTACGGAAATACGAAATTATCTCTCTATGGGAGTAAAGTAGGAAGATTTTGCAGGCACATCCTAAAAATGGAACAGATTAGCAAATAAATTACATATAGAGAAACACCTACCTGGAACAGAATTTTCTAAAATAATGTTTTATCATCACTGCGTTTTTGCAAGCAAACAGCTCTCTCCGCTTTTTCTATATCTGAGTAGAAGGTAGGGATGGTGAAGTGGGGAAGTGGAAAAAACTTTAATCCTCAAGACAATTCTGTTTCCTTAGGAGTACAACTGAGAAGAATCTTCAGCTCGGAAGTAACCAGGGGATGGAGCAAATCACCATCTACCTCTCTAGTGTGAATGGGCTAGCTATTCAAATTCCAAAATACACCATTCAGCTACTAACATGAGTAAGCAGATTGATGAGTGGAACATTCCTTACTTTTTAGAATTAGAAGATAAGCAATCTAAGAGCAGGAACCTTATCTATGTTATTCTTCAATATATCTCCAAGGCTTAGAATGTGACTGGCACATAGCAGAAACCCAGTTAACATTTGTTACATAAATTATCAAATATATGAATGAATGAATCCTCACTTCAGTTTAAGAGGTAATGGGTCTGCCTAATCTTAAGTATAAGGGAGTTATTGGTAGGGATATACACAGGGAGACGCAAGCAGGTATTTATTTATTATCTTACAGTTTTATTAACCTGCTTTGGGGTAAGCCTAAGAGACAAAATTACCATTTATAACACAAAATCCATTTAATTATCTGGTGACTACTTGTTGCTTATCTCATCCCAAATTTCTCTTCCCCTTTATATGCGGAAAAAGAGGGAAAAATTATCATGACCTTCCAAGATAAATATCCCACTGCCTTTCAAATATTTAGTCCATTCAGGAAGATCCAAGGGTCCTAAAATGAATGTGATCCTGAGAATATTTAATGGCAGTGGTGGGGTTGGGGGGACATGATCACAGAAATATAGTTAATTCCTTCCAGTTTTCATGTTAGTAAACAAACCAGTTAACTTTGTCAACATTTTCCTATTAAGCATCAAAAAAGTTCCTCATTGAAAGTGGCATCAGTGCTGGAAAGTGCACCGTTAGAGACCACGAAAGGGTAAAAGCAGAAGTCGTTAATTTAGAAAAATATTTCCTTTTCTTTCATGGTATCATATTCTGTCTATAATTTAAACCACCCTTTTCATGCTTACTGGCCTTCAGTTAGCTGAGTGTAATTTTTATTTTGCTTTTGATTGAGTGGCATCATCAATTCAACTGGTAATTATTTAGCAACAACCAATTACTACAGAAGTTCTCAAATTTCCACAAAGAAGAATGTAGGGAAGAATCAATAATCAAAATTTTGAACATGAATTTTACCTTTGAAGACAAATTTTTTTGCTGCTCTTCTTATACCACTTCGCTCACTTGGCAGTGTAGTTGGATGATATTCACCAGTTCGTTTGTAATATGCAATCTGTTTAAGATGAAGGTCACCATTTTTTCCACTACGGACCATTGTGAACCTAGGTAAAAGGTATTTAAAAAGGTAACTTAAATTTTAAGCTAACTGAATTGCTATTTAAGTTAAGACTTCTGTCATATTGCTATTTACATATGAACTGAGAATTCCCAGAATTTATTTGTGAGGGAGATAATTGCAGTACAGGAAAGGAACAGTGATGTATATGAACAAAAATACTCAAATGCTATTTTTGATATACCCCATGACAAATTATCTTGTCTCTTTCCACTTGATAAGAAATGCTGAAAATTTTCCACATACTGAGAAAAAAGGAAATGAACCAGTACACTTCAAAAAGGTTTACTTAAAATTTCATTTGCTATCAACTGAAATGTTACTTTCACGGGATGGTAACACAGGAAGATCCTGTCATGTGACATTTAAATAAATAAGTTATAGGAGAAGAAATACAGCTTTATATTATTTCTAAATATATTCATGGTTATTTCTTCTTGCACCTCAGCCCTAAGGTGGTAACTATGTTTGCTGCTGCTAGTCTCCAGGTGCCATGCTGTTTACTTTGTTACTGTCTGTCTATAGAAAGAAGTTCCATTAAGTTTTCTTTAAAATCCCACCAGAATGTCTTCTGTCTCCTGCTAGGATTCTGACACGTATCTTACAATTTTGAAATTACATTAAAAAAAAAGATGTTTACTGACCACTAGAGGATCTAGGGATGAGACTAAAAGAGTATTTACTGGAAAGAGAATGCTGGAACAAAGCAGAACAGACTGTGCCTATCGCCATGGCTTAAACAGCTTATCAATTCACTTCCCCTATAATACAGCTCTTTGCAAATGTAAATCCATCTTTCTGATCTATTTTTAACTTCCAGAGAGAGTCACAGTACATTTCTTACCTTAAGTTAACACAAAGTGTATGTCAATTTAAAAACAAAGGTTCTGAAATGTTAACACAGTCCCATCATGACCTAAAAAACAAGTTAATTATCTCTATAAAGTATTATAAGACAATCAGTTTATTCTAAGTTTAATTCATTTCCAACTGATTATTAAATATATGATTTTTTTCATCTAATAGATGGCTGTACCCCAAAACAAACAAATGTAGCCTATCACAGTTTCTAAATCATCTCAAAGATAAATGGATGAGATTTAAGACTTTTTATACAAATAAAGTAAATAAGACAAGCCAACTGGCGTAAGGACGGACAGACACATCACTGTAATTGAACAAGGAGTCCAGAATTATATTCACACATGTAAAGTCAATACATTTACAACAAAGATACCAATACAATGAGGAAAGAGGTGGTCTTTTCAATAAATAATGCTAGACAACTAGATAACTGCACTAGGGGGAAAAATGAACCTTAACCACCTACCTCACATCTTACACAAAAATTAATTCCAGACAAATCATAAACTTAAATGTGAAAGATAAATGACAATGATTCTGGAAGAAAACATAGGAAAAGATCTTTCAAATCTTAGGATAAGCAAAGATTTCTTAAATAAGACACAAAAAACACTATCCTTAAAAGAAAGAAAATTAACAAGTGCTTTATCAAAATAAAAATGTGTACTCATCAAAGACACCATTAAGAAAGTGAAAACATAGGACACGCATAGGGAGAAGATACCTTTAATACATATATCTAACAAAGGAGTCAGACCCAGTGTATGTAAGGAACTTCTAAAAATCAAAAAGAAAAGGACAAAACCCAATTCAAAAAATGGGGGGAAATTTTTACACAGCACTTCATAAAAGAGAATATCCAATGGTCAATAAGCAAGTGAAAATATGCTCAACATCGTTATTCCTCAGGGCAATGCAAATAAAACCACGATGACTAAGAACTACACACTACTGAACGGCTAAAATTAAAAACTAAAGACAACACCAAGTGTTGGTGCAGACAGGTAGCAACTGGAACTCTCATACATTGTGGGAGGAAAAAATGTTGCAACCACTTTGGAAAACTAAGTTTCTTCTAAAGCTAAACACAAATTTACCCTAAAGGCTTGGCAATTCTAAGTTTATATTCCAGTGCAATGAGTCTATGACTATCAAAATCTGTGTACAAAAATGTTTATAAATATTTTATAGTCATAATAGCCACTACATGGAAACAGTAAAGGTATCAAGAAGTTTTACCACGTATATACTCTGTTCTGGTCCTGTAGCCACTTCTATTGCTACCAAGTTTCACGTCGCTCTAGGTCAGTGCTTTTCAAACCATCTGTGGTGAAACACTAGTGGTATCCTACTGCCCTCCAATCTGCCACGTAAGACCTCTTGATACCTTTATTTTCCATGTCATCCTCACTATACTCTCTCCTCCGTCAGGATTCCATGGCAAACTTTTACTTCCTAATCAATTTTCAATTCATGAAGCGTTGTGTGATTTCAAGTTGGGAATATAGAACCCGTTTGTCTACCCATCCATTTGCCTGCCTGTCATTCTAGCTCTGCATTAATCATCCTCAACTCTCAAAAAAAAAAAAAAGAAACCAAAATCATTTTTAGTTTGTGTCCTTTATTTTCATCTCTATACTACAGTGATACACGTTCTTTCAAGTCTAAGGGACAGAAACCTGTTTAGATGAAATCAATATACAGACTACACATACGATAAACGTATAGATGACATCTATATATTTAGAGATTTAGATGAAATCAATATACAGATTATACACACTATAAAATTAATAATATACTATATATAACCTCCTGTTATAGTTTTCCCTTAATAGTTTTTGTAACTATTAATGTCCCAAATCATCTAAGCGATCTAAAAGAAAATTTAGAAATATCCCATCGTAGCCAGCTGGGAGCATGGTATCTCTAGGAAGATGAGGTTTATAAAAGAAAGATAAAAATTGTGTATTTCCTCCCTTCTAGAGACCAGTAAAGATTGCAAAAACTCCTGAAGGGCCTTAAAAAGAAAAGGGGAGAAGCTTTTTCAGGCCTGTAAAAGCCCACAGAAGGAAAAAAACAAACTCTCACACCTTAGAGGAAGTACAGGCCCCAAAACACAGAGGGATGTGGGTAACTGGAACTGGCAGAAAACAAACTAGCCATTGGGAAAAAAAAAATGTGAGTCTGTGTAATACACAGTAGCTTCTGTATTTTGCTCTTATATTTAAAAACCTCTGGGGTTCCAAGTTCCTACCATCTCTTGTCTTCCTCCCCCTACCCATTTACCTCCTGGAGAGACCAGAAAATTTTTCTATCTAATGAAAGATGAAGTCTTCAGTATATTAAGTCTATGCCATTAGAACACTGTTGGTTTTTCTATTTATAACAAATATATAAAAACTCCTCAGAAAAGGTCTATTTACTGAAATTAACTTCTCTGCTTTGAAATCTTTAACTTTTGAATAACTGAAAATAGATCGAAATAGAGAAATTTGCTCTCCTCAGAGTAAACCTATAGTACACAGGGACAAGGAGAAAATGAAACCACTACAAAAATCTTTGGAGACTGAGCTCTTTAAGGTTTTTGGTTTGTTTTTTTCTTATCAAACTAGTGGAAGAAGACTAACACATATCTATGTTAGGGAGAGGGACATAAAAATCACTGGGAGAAGACATAAAAACCATAAATTTCCTACAGATTTTCGTATTTCACAAATGCTTTCACAAGTATATTATTTTCATTTTTATATGGGTGAGTTGTCTTGACTCGACAACAGAACTAAGACTTAAAGGCGTGGTTATTTGCCTGACATAGTCACCTTGAAACTTACTTAGACTATTCCTAGCATGTTTTTATCTTCCAAATGATTTACCTGACAGAGTGGACACTATGAGACTGCCTCTGGGCATTATCTTCTACTTAGTGGCTAAGGTCTAGACTATTTAGCCTACCCTCTACAACCTGGCAGGACATAACACAGCTTCTTCTCTCACTAGTTTCCTTTGTATACCCATGGCCATATCCCCAACCATTCTCTATACCTTGGTTTACATCATTTCCCCCTAAATGGTATATCCTTCCACCTGATTAAGCCTTACCCATCTTTCGAAATCAAGCTCTAGCACCTCAATGAAGCAAACGTTCCATGATCTCTGAATCTAAAGTGATCTTGACCTCTCCTAATCTTCTTTGTGCCTACTGTAGAACTTCCAAGTTTTACCCTTTTTAATAGTTTTTTGCCTGTTCATCCATATAACCTTGAATTTGCTCATTCAGTTACTGAGCTCTAAAACCCTTATATATATTAGATGACACTAATGCAAAGTTAAATAAGATGAAATCCTTGTCCTCACAGAGCTTATGGTATGAGAGGAAAAGAGGAGTATATCAGCGTTTATATAGTTTAGAGTGGTGTTATAACAGATGTATGCGAAGAGTACTATCAAAACAGATGTGCAGAGACACAGATCCACCTGGAGAAGGAGGAAAAGCATTGATTGTGGATGAGGTAGAACCTTGAACTTTATTCCATTGCTACTGCCTTACTTCACACTCACCTTCTATCTGACCTTGTGTCCTCTGTCTCTAATATAGTCCTTGTCCTCACTGCAGTCACAGAGGTCAAACTAAAACACAAATCTTATCAAAATATTCACTTAACTCGAAATATGCCTTTTGCCATTCCTGATTGTCTTAGTCCACTTGGGAGGCTATAACAAATATACCATAAACTGGATGGCTTATCAACAGAAATTTCTTTCTCACAGTTCTGGAGGCTAGGAAGTACAAGATCAAGATGCCAGCAAATTTAGTGTCTACTAAGGGTTCACTTTCTTATGGGCAGCTGTCTTCTCACTGTAACTTCACATGAGGGAAGGGGGAAGGGGTTTCTCTCAGACTCTTTAAAAGATAGGCACTAATCCCATTAATGAGAGCTCTGACCCATGATCAAGTCACTTCTCCAAAGTTCTACCTCTTTTTTTTTTTTAGACAGAGTTGTGCTCTGTCGCCCAGACTGGAGTGCAGTGGTATGATCTCAGCTTACTGTAACCTCTGCCTCCCAGGCTCAAGCAAATTTCGTTCCACAGCCTCTCGAGTAGCTGGGACTATGGGCACAT